GTCACTCCATCCCTTGGCCTTCTCTAATACTGAATCTCAAAGTGTCATGGTCTATCCTCCTCTTCACTGGAATCATCCTTACAGAATAGATTCAAATTTTTCTCCCTCCTGCTATCACAATACATGGTGATCTCTCCATGAGTCATTTCCTCAATTTCAGCGAGCTTGCTAAAGTCGGGAAATTTCCCACTGCATCTCTTCCATAGCAAGTTCTTGAACGGCTTCCGGCACTTCCTTGGTGGCACGGCTATGGTTTAGGTTTGAGAAGTGAAAGAAAGGGGGTGGTTTAGAGTAGGAAAAAATTTTGATGGTTGATTTAAAAAATCAACCAGGGGGCAAGGGGTTTTTGGGTGGAGTTTAGTAACCCCTAGAATAGAACTGAGGTTAGACTAGCTCTGATACCAAATAATATTGGGGTTTGATCAAACATTAATGGTAAACACATAATATTATTGTTGAATCCAAATATGAAATTACAACATAACACGATGAAAATCTGAAATTGCACAAAAAATGACACAACACCATACCAAGGTGTAAATAGTCAATGCAGGAAAAAGTTTGGCTTTTTTTTTTTTTTTGTGGTGGTGGTTGGGGGGGACGAAATATAGCAGGTTGTTTCGGAGATGCGGCAGCAAAGGTGCAGCGACAAGGGTGTAAATAGTCAATGCAGGAAGAGATAGGAAAGGGAATATGATGGATAAAGCACTTGGAGACCAAGATACAGCTGAGCACCACTTAGAATCATAGGAAATAGCCCTAGAAAACAAGAGGGAGACGTCGGCCACTGTCTTGAAGCCGACATAGCAAAACTAACCCTAAACACCAAAAAATACAAATAAAGTCCTTAGATAACTAAGAGTGAACCCCACTCCAATTAGGTGGCAAATCTCAGCCTTGGAGGGTCGATCGGCCCCTCATAAGTCTGGACCAAATGATCCAAGAGTGCAGACGCCTAGTTTTAATGTCTCGTATCTCAGGTGCAGGCGCCCGCATCACACGCCTTACAATGTAAGTCGTTTTCTCATCATTAGAAACACGAGCATCCACATGTGTTCCATTAATTGCCTCAATGTAGACCTGTTATATTTCCCACCTGGAAACCAAAATATAAACAGAGCATCACTTGGAATCATAGGATGCATACCTAGAAGGGAAGAGAGAGACGTAGACCACTGTCCAGAAACAAACATAGAAAAACTAACCCTAGACACCAACAAATACAAATAAAGTCCTTGGATAACTATGTGTGAACCTTATTCCAATTGGGTGGTAAATCTCAGCCTTGGAAGGTTATGATCGGCCCCTCAGAAATCTGGACCGAACGATTTAAGAGTGGCAACTCCCAGTTCCAGTGTCTCACGTCTTAGGCAAGGATGCCCACGTTACACACCTTACGATGTAAGTCACATTCTCATCTTTAGAAACACGAGTATCCACATGTGTTCCATTAATTGCCCCAATATAGTCTTATACCACAAGTTATTTTGTCAAGCACATTCAAATAGCTAAAAAAATGAGTTTATATTGAAATAAGGCATATAATGATAATCATATATTGTCTCGAGAGGTTATTCTAAAAAGTAGGATCTAGCGGCTTCACATTAGCATATGTCAAGCAAACAAGAGCATCTAAACCGATACTGAAATATCTACTAATTAATTCATATGAATATTGAAAGCGCCTACATGTTACCTTTATTGACTCATTGTGTTATAATATAAAGTGTTATCCCTAATGCTTCTCTTGTCATTGTGCTTGAAGAGCCTTTGAGAATCATAAGTTTGCAAATCTTATAAAGATCAATAAATATTGCTTGCGAGAAACGAAACATACCATGAAATCTCCATGTGTTTCATGCTAGCAGATCCCCAATCTATTTATCTCCAATGTAAGTTGATGTAATTGAGAGAGTTACAAATATAAATTTTGCAGTACTCATTAATTAAGCATACAACAACGATCATAGCCTTCTTGCAGCGCTCTTTCTTGTGATCATATATAACTGTAGCAACACAAGTAAAAATTCATAAAGCGCCACTCAAATAAACACCAACTGGAGGCCCTCTTAATTCATATAAGATAAAAACATTTCAATAAAATGTGTAAATAAACAAACAATTCAAGGAAATTTATAAACACTACATAAATAGATGTAAAACAATAAATAAAAGTTTGACCATGACAAAATACGAAAGTTCAACAATCACAAACCAATACGAATTGCTAACCCTTAACCCATCACAAATTTCTAGCCTTATTGGCTTTCAAGGAAAAATTTAAGCTAATAAACTCTTTGTTCAACTGCAATCGACACGAACGCCTCTCTTTTACTTGGTCCCCTCAAGAAAATTAGTAGAGAACAAGTACAGTAAAATATCATCATAAACTTTAGGGATCATCTCAAGTATTCTGATAACATCAAAAACAGAAATAGGTTTGTGTGATGAACTTGTCTCAGAAGACAATTTTTAACATGTTGAAACTGATATACAAACTTGATCCCTCGGGAAAAATGCTCCGCAGGTTTTCTTTTTTCTCAAGATAGGTTCAACAAAATATTCACGCTTCGTATGACTAAATATAGTGTGCTCAATTATGGCATGGCATGAACCTCTCTCAGGATCATTTGAGTTACCACTCTGTTGAGATACTTCTTGCGGATCTAAGACAATTGGGGCTTCATGACTCGGAGCCCGTGCATAGCCACCACTAACAACGACTCCACCAAACATTATGTCAAGTTTATCCTAAGTTCAGAATCAATGTCACAAAGTTTGAATTTTTTTTATATTATGAGCAACCTAGATTTCAGTGAAGGGAAAGTAATAATCATAGTATGATGCAAATTATAAACACGTTATAGGACATAAGAAATCAAAAAAAATATAGCTTCACCTCTAATTTTTTCTTCCACTTTTTTTCAAAAGCAACCATAGTCTTCCCTCAGTGGTCCTAACCCAATTCAATTGATCCGTATTTTAATTTTTCCACAACTTTCATTTTTTTTTTTTAGTTGGTTTCATTTTTTTTAACTGACTCCTGTCATATTCTCTTCCATTTTTCTCACAAAAATTTTGTATTATATTTTGTCAGTCTTCTTTACTGAAATGCGTTGTAGGTTGATTACCTTATTCTACCTCATTCAGGCAGACAATACAAAAAACAATCGCAACTTCTTTATCCCATGTAGCAGATAATTTGACTTCTCTTGATTTGTTCATTACAACTCACTAGTGAAAAAATATTAATTAGAAATGTGAGAAATAGTTTTAAGAATTTAAAAAAAATGGAAGTTTAAGGCTTAAAGTCAATATAAAGAGTTAAAGAATCTATCATCAAACCATTAGAGTAAGGCAAAGGACCTATAGAAAAGAGAATCTTGATTGTCTTACATCAATGTAGAATAAACTTCTATATATCAAAATGCATAGCATCATAAAAGACACCAAGAAGAATCTTAAGATCATATGACTCATCACAAGCCTCTGCATAAAGCAATCAATTCTAAACCAATTTTCGAATCCTCAAATAACATATATAAAATTGCATGACATCCACATATATTCTCAGATTTTAAATCAAAGCTTCCAAGCCAATATCATATATCTATTCTAATAACAAGTTAAATAGTGTCAATTTGCATGACATCTACATACATGAACCTCAACACCCTTTGTCAGGAAATTCATAACCAATAATCATCTACTCACATTGTAAAGAAAGATTATATGCCCCAATAGCATACTAAAAGCAAGCATATAAGAAGAATGGTATAGATAAGGAGAAAAAAGAGAGCCCCATAAGATCCTAAACTCCACACAAATCGAGAAATCAATAAACAATAACCAAACACACCCAAAGTTCGGGTTGTTGATTATCCGTCCAAGCCAAACATTTACAATTTCCTATGCAATATCAACTGCAAAATAAAGTAGAGGGTAATGCACAATAAACAGTAAAATGGAGGAACAAAAAAAACCAAAAAAGTTAAATTGAATATCCCAAGCATACCAAAAAAAACCAAAGCAATCAGAGACGAACACAGATAAGTCATAACCAAACACACCGGACCTCCACACATAAGGAGGAGAGCCTCGAAACCCCCAATGCTCATCAATTGTTATTCCAACATACCAAAGAAACCAGAGAAAGCCACAGTGAAATCATAACCAAACACACCCAAACGCACACAGAGGAAAGAGAGCCCTATAAGCCACCCTGCCCCCTCGTGCTCATTAATTCGCATTTCAGCATACCATAAAAATTAGAGAAAATATAGATGTCATAACCAAAAAAATCTTAAAGCACACAGAAGGAGAGCACTATAAACCTCCCATGTTCATCAATTCACATTTCAGAATACCAAGAAAACAAAACAATAAAAAAAAAATCAGAGAAACTCACATAGATGTCATAACCAACACACTCGCACACAACCCCCGCATGTGGAATGCTAGTAACAGGCAACAATGTTCAACAGAGAGCATTATTGTGATACATGTTTCTACCCGATTTGATCCCTTAAATCTACCTGAGCAAGGATTTACTAGATATATACAAAGAAAATTTATTTGCCGGCTTAATATGGAAGCAATGCTGACCAGAAAGTGAGAAAAATCACTATTACCCAACCTAAGAATTTCAAACAAAATTTCAGTCAAAAATCCCAGGTAATCCAGAAAAAATTAATAGAACAAATTATAAACCTACATCTGCCTAGAGTCTGCATTCCGCTAATCAATCCACATATAATTAAGTGCCGACTTGACGATCCACGTGAAAATCTTCAAACCGTAACAAGAAACAAATCACATCAACAAATTTCAGCTCAAAAAAAAAAAAAAAAAACAAACAAAACAAAATCTACGAAAACCACATGCATAACAGCAAATATCAAGATTTAGCAGCCACAACCGCATACAAATATTCTTAAGATTAACCTCAGCAAGAAAATATCAGAGAAATATAAAGCAGAAGGCACAGAAGAATCACCGACGTAGACATGTGGTTGCTGACTGTGATTAGCGGTCGGTCAGGTGATCGGCAGTGGACGAGGCGTTGAAGGGTTTCGGCGTTGTGGACGTGGGTGGAATTGAGGAAGGAGGTGAACATCTTGGCCAAGGCCCCAACAGATGCGATGACCAGCGCGCGGGGGATACCACCAAGGTGATCCGCCTTTCCCGCCCATCTCATCGCCGACGTCGCCAGTTTGGTCCCGACCGTCGCCTTTAGGGTTCCGGCCGCCGCCTCCGATGGCATCGGTTGTTCGTGCATTGGCTTTGTATGGCCGCTGCGAAGAATTGTCTGCGGGGCGGAGGTATAGTCGACTTCAGTTGAAGTGGCGGAGCTGGAGCACGGTTAAGTTCTTCAAGGCAGATTGGACGGGTGTTTGTTTATAAACACCCGGGTTCTAAGTTCTAGATGAGAAATGTTCAGTAAAATATACAGCAATCCATGTAGAGAACTTCAATTGATTTTATTGTTTTTTATGTGATTTTTATTTAATTAAAGTTTATTGATATGCAATTTAACTCTGTTTTTTTATATGAATTACAGTAAATTTCATTTATATAAATATCATTCAATTAATTTTCTTTTTCTTTTTTTTATAATTTTTATTGTTTGTCAGAAAATTAGTAGTGATAGAGTTATATTAACCTCTTAGTATTATATAATAATTCTTCACGCAGTTAAAAGAAGAGTCAATATAGAGGACATTAGAGATTGTTAAACTATGGAGTCCAGCCCAGTTAAAGTAATTTCACCATGTCGATAGGTTACAAGACATTTCTAACATTGAAGGGTCAGAAATAGTATTACATAATTGGGGCTTATCGAGTTATCAATGTGACTTCAGCTAGGGGAGTGGAAAAGCGGATTGAGAATATGAGAGCAACCCAACTGCAACCATGGCAAGGGGTTGTGCGTTGGCGATCAAGATTCATTGTCACTGATGGTGTTGGCCACGTGTCGAGCAATGGTGAACCAGTGATCTTATCATGACTTCAACTAGCTCTCAAGATAAATATAAGTCATTCGAGTGCTTTTTACATTAATTATCTTTTACCTCCTCGGCTCGATGTGAGTCCATTGTGTGCTCTCCAGCCTAATGTATCCAGGTTAAATCAAATTTTTAAGAGAGTATCATTTTTGTCTAAAACTATTATCTATGCTTCTCTGGGTTAATTTTTAAGATAGGGGTAAGTCCATCATGTGCTTCCTTTTCATGATCTTAACCCAATTAGCTCTTAGGTCCAATGTGAGCTCTAGTGATTTCTGACCTAGTCAAATTTTTTAACTTATGTTCGAACTCGATGAGAGTCTCAACATTTTCTGTCTCAAACCAGTCATTCCAGCTATCTTCTGAGAAGACAATAACACCCCTATGGGTGGTTTCCTTAATATATATATATATATATATA